AACTTATTTGTGTCTTCTCAGCTTCTGCTTGAGAAAATGCCTCACAAACTGTACGGCCGCCATGGTTGAAAGACTTCTGTGCGTTTGAAAGTGTATTAAGCAAGTGCAGTTGCCAGGCTACCAACCGCATATGTAGCTGACTTCCATATTGCGTGCAACTCGTTCCATCCGAAAAGCCTCAATTCTAATCTTCAAGACAAACATTTATCAAAACTTGCGACTTCCCCGGTGACGGCGACCGGCTTTATCGACTTTAAAAATCATACATTACTTGTACTGTTGGCTTAATAAAAACAAAATGGTAACGCATGCAAGTTCGTTTTGCCATCTGTGTACCTCCACTTATACGAGACGAATGGTTATTATACATGTATTTCCCCGTAGGAGAAAGAAACGAAGAAATTCTACTGTCAAAAGAAGGAGCAGCGACGAAAGCCACCGACATAAATTCGTCCGAATCGACAGAGACCACTTGCAGATAATAATAATGATACTAATACCAACAGTGGCAACCACTTCGTTCTAAATAACGTGTTTGATACGGCATGGAACTTTCAGCATGCAGTATTTCAACAAACTGACTCATTGTACAGTATTTCTAGCTGACATAATTTCAGCACATGAGTAATTTCATTGGTGACGACCGTATTAAAAAATAGTAATATAAAGCAGGTGGCTGGTGTGACATTAACTTCTGGCCTGGGAATGGGGAATAAATGAAAAAGCCGAGCGTAATTTTGGTGGTGGCAGTTCATTTAGCCCGTTCAGACATCTGTGACTCAACATAGGTATCCAGTACAACCGCAGGAGAAGAGTATACTTCTACTTCACCAGAAGAAAAACAACAGTTTTAAACTATCCAGACTTAAGGACCATACCATGAGAGCTCAGGATGTTACGATTTCATAAAACTGCGCCACTCTTTTTGGATGTTAAATGAGTAGTTCCACACCCCCTTTTCTCCTTAGTATGTCACGGTGTCTTCGTCTTCGGTCTTGTCTTCGTTACTTCAATATGTAACTTCAACCTCTTCCTCGTAAGCTGATCTCTACACATTTGACTTGAGAGACTGAGACTGGTATCCCTTATGTTAAACCCATTGCATGAGGATAATATCTACTATTGTCTGAACTTTAACACTCCATATGCGCTGTAAAGTGATAGTTCCCTGTTCGTTTCACAACTAGCGGGATCTTCTGCTGTCTTTAATGGAGTTTAGTGGCATTCAGCTTGCACCACTCAGGCCTCGTAAAGTCTTGTTGATATTTTGAGATGTATCAACGTGATGATGCTAATAAACTGGCTTCCCTCATTTGGTATAATTATTTTCATATCATACCGTTGTTGGCTGAACCTAATTGATAGGTAACCATTGGCATATGGGCTCCTGAACAACAGCACTCACTGGGAAACAGGTACACCCAGCTGACGGGTCCCAAAAGAACAACATGAGCATTCTGGGCTCCACTGCCGGCCACGATAATCATTAACATGGCTTCTCTCATGTTAAGTTATTTTAATGTGAGAATAAAACATTTGTTTATTTAATAACTTTTGTGGCCGTACCATTTAACCGACCTATCTATACCACCATCGGTGCGCTTCAAATAGAATTTTATGCTTCTATTTTGCGTTTGTCCTGCTGCTCGCTTTTGCTATTCATTTTTCCGGCCTAACTCACCAGTTCATGGTTCATGTGGGATTTTGGTAATTGTAGTTGCTAGCGTTTATCATGCCATCGAAACAATCAACTCATAGACCTCAAGGTCACGGCTGCACCACCCGCAACATTTTCAAGTGTAATTGATGATTCAAACGATGGTTGAATAACTCCTAATTTCAAATTGGGCTTGTTTTGATATACTGAACGATCTTGTCAGTGTTCAGCAATTTTTTACTTTGCTGTCTATGAAACAATATCGTTCTACGGTTGAACGCATCTATTATGCACCCTGACGGTTTCTGATGTGTTGCATGTTAGCAATCTAAATGGTGGGCTGATCCTACCAGGCGTTTTTCATGTACCCTATGTTGTGTGGAAAAAGGTGCGTTATTACTATATATCATTACAATCAACCTAGTCATATTATGTCGCAGACCTGTATGCGGGGCAGAAGATTTCCTAATGAACTAGGGGACTCCTCGGACGAAGATTCAAATGCATAGGTCTCGGAGACTTTATCGAATCACCATTTGACTTGGTTGGGCTAAAAAGTCCACGTGATTTGACTTCCATATCAAGTTGAAACGTCAAATTTCTTGTTTATTAAGCAGAAAATCATAGGAGTACCCTGATAAACTTACCAACATGATATGTCAGTTCTGAGCTTATCACCCCCTCACATAAGTGGTGTAAACTTCATCCAGCACCTTGCCGCTCTTTGTAACACAACTGATAGTTATCACATCAAGATTTACTGCAGCTGTCTTGTTCTCGACCAGTATCCAGACTAGACGGTTCTCGGAAAGCAAACGTGGTTGAACTTAACTCAGCAGCCTCTTCTAAAGACCGATCAGTCATTGCGCAACCCTCGTTGAGGCCGCGGGCCAGTGTGGCCCTTCCTCTGATTCTGTGAGCTCGGCCGATCTGATGATAGCGCTGCCTTCTTTGGTCTTCTCGCAAAGTTAAAAGTCTACAACGATGGAAAACTTATCAAAGTTTTGTCGCTAATCTTAGCACCCGGAGGCGAATAGGCAGAATAAAGTCGCCCACAATAGACGTTTGACATCTGCCAGCCGATTTTCAGTACTTTTTGACACCCTTCTGTACATGGTTGCCGTAGAATGCCTTAAGAAACAGAAACTAGCCAGACAAATGAAGATGACAAAGGTGAGGCAGGGGCATTGGTAGAATATGTAGTTGAGGTTGTTGCCTAAGGGCCTCTGGCAGACATTGGGGGCATTGACATCCGACAGAATGAATTATCTGGACATCAGCAAGGATGACATATTCAAGACAGCAACTGTTCTGGATGCTTGAAAATAGTTGGACTAGAGAGCTTGCCATCAATATCTACGAACAACCCAGGGGCCCATTTCCGTCCACCCAGTTTTCCGGTGGCTATCTGTCTTCCTGTGAACCACGTAAAATCTCGGAGGGTGGTGTACCGTGATGTCGGCAGTGGATGTTTCTAGATCATGCTGCAGTAATTAGATACCTGTTCCCCATAGAACGCCCTGAGCTTCAACTTGTGAAGATGCAAATTACCGTACACCATGACTCACGAGGCTAGAGCAGCCGATGGGCATGAACGTTAATCAACCGTACTGTCAGCATGGAGTCCATGGGAAGCGATTCGGGTCGCAAGTTCATCAACACACTAATCATCAGTGCCAATCACAAAGAAGTGGCAGTAACAGCAAACGGCCTTCTACATTTAGTGCAAAGCAGCCTGCTGCTGACATAATAGAACTCTTCCTATCAATTCTATAATCTTTTCCACCGCTGTAGTTGGAAGTATTCGGTGCCTCAGCATGCCAGGCACTCGAGAAGCGCTTCAGTCTCCTCAAAAAAGCATGGAAGTCCATGGCCAAAGCAGCAATAATAATGATATGTATTCCGAATAAGTAGTTGCTGCTTTAGGGAGAGAAATATACTGGCAGGTTGAGGCGCTCACGTCAATTTGCTTAAAGCTACCACTGAAACATAATTGACCACACTTCGATTCATAAGATCTTTTATCGAGTGAGTCACTCGGGCAAACCATTCCCATATGCCAAATGGGGGTCACCATGCAGATATCTGATAGGAATAGCATATCAGAGAGCCAACGAATGGGTCAAGTCAAACTTCTTTTCATCGGGATCATGTGAACTATGTAGGTTATCGCGAAATATAAATACACCTTTCCAAGTAATATCTAAAAGGAGGCAAGACAGTTGAATCAGTTCAAATGACTACTTAACAACTAACTGTTTTGGCTTCCCTGTTCTCGCTTCTAATTATTCGCCGGTAACTACACACTCGCCCTATATACTTTCTACTTTATTCCACCATTCGTACCAGGACATGCAGATGTTTTGGTAAAGAGATTTTCAGTATCCTGAAACCCCCCTGTTTATATTTTCATTTAGAATATTGCATTCAGGTTTGCAGTTCATGCTTCAAAAAGGAGGCCGGTTCACCAGGATAGGTAGAAGGGGTCAGCTCAAAACCAGTTTCAAGTCTTTCCAGCCTTTCCTATGATGGGCGATTGGAAAAATGAAACATTTCCGCCTCATCTCATTGTGGGATAAGAGGTGACCTGGTGTTAGCTACTCAAGTTTTGAGGAATGCACCAAGTGTCAGTTTGTCCAATCTCTCTAATTTCTCCAGAATAGGCCAGGTTAAAAGATATCAAAGAAATCAAAAAGCTCTAGGGGAATGAAGTTCAGGTGGAGCACCGAATCTTATGTAGAGGGAATAATGGCAGGAACTCCATTCCAGGGTATGTGGTAGCAGCGTTTCCCGTGAGCGTAATGAAGGAAATACTGGATGTTGACGGAAATAGTTACTGCAAGAATTAGCAAAGCCGCCACCCTACTATCTTTTTCATTGACGACTTAGAGCATCTATAGAGGTAGGTGTCACAAATGTCCCCAAATCATCCCAGTAACCAGTAGCTTCCCAACCAACATAACCTGCCAGTTTCACACTAAGTCCACAGAAAACACTTGTTCCACGGTATCTAGAAGTAAGAAGACAGAAGAGATTTTAAAGTGCTCTACAAGAGAAGAACAGAACACTCAGAAAAACGAACAACTCGAACCAAGCCCTAAGAGCTAGAAGTGAGAGTGATCAAAACCTGTCAGTTTTCTACGGTCGTACTATCAGTATTGGAAATTGCAGAATATTGGAGAGCCTAAAAACCACTGGGCTCCTAAGCTAACTCTACTGATGCTGGGTGTTGGAGACAGAGTAATAAGAAATAGGAAGACAGTGAATTGGTGATATATTCATTTCTATATTGTAACTATTGTATAAACAACTTGTTTCAGATTCAAATCTTGTTTGAATTGTTTAAGGTTTAAGAGGCCAATATAAGTTGGTCGCAACAATGGACGGGTCTTGGTTTTTCATGATTTTCGAGTCAGATGATTGCTTTAAAGTCAAAACTGTAGTTTTGGGTGGTGGTTTTATTTTCAGCAGAGAATCCTCGGATCCCCTTAAGCATAAAACATTCGGCCTATCTTTAGGTCCGTGGAGTCTGTCACACACGAATATATCCGTTTTTGTTCTTTTTCATGAGCTAGTAAGTATATTGTGCTCTATTTGTTGAATGAGTCCAAATTGGTTTATGTTCACTTCCTTTTTAATCTACCTTTTGCTCTACAGTGGTTTTTTTTTCCCTAACTTGCAAATACTGAGTAGAACTCTTTAAGAAGGTAAATACATATATTAGTTTTCAAATATTTTCACCGCGTCAAACCTCCTAAAGTTTGTGGACGATAACCTTGTAACTTTATTTAGGGCTTTGCGAGATCGGTTAAAATATTTCGTGTTTTAAGTGCTTAACTAAGTAATTGTCCGAAAAGAGCAAAGTGCCATTCAACATATCTGTTAACCGGCTCACTTTCAGTCCTTATTTATCTCTATGTTTGCGTAATTGTTTTAAAGTATAAATGGGAGTCAAGTTCACCAGAGGTTATGTTTTCACACCTACTTTAGCAATGCTGAATATATTCCGGATAACATTTTGACTGGAGTTTGCCTAAGAATCTGTTTACCTTAGGTCATTGCAGTAATTGTGTTTGTGCTGAGATATTACGAATTAACCTATACCCAGTTTTCACTGCATTACGTTCTCGCAATGCAGAGATAATGGTAGGTTATCATCGATATCAACATAGGTTCTGGCATTAAGGCGTAGTGGTCGGAGTTGTCACCGCCTATTAGCACATTAAGTGACAAAGCAATCAAACAAAATGTAAAGTAAGAAAGAATTGGCTGAAAGCAGTAAAGAGAGGATGGAAGAATAAGAGAATAATGAACTCCACGTGACGATTAAAATAAGACTGATGTGTGGATAAATCTACGCTGTTGAGATCCATCCAGAGCCATATCATCTAGAGTCTCCTTCTACGTGTTTCTAACGTCACGCAAACCTTTACAGAGAATTTCGTATTTCCTTACACGGCCCAGACCAACAGTCAAAGACTTTATGGACTAGTGTCATGCGTTAGTCTGACCTCCCTAAACCTTTTTCTGACCGAAATCTGCTTCAGCTAACATTGTGCTGCGATTCAGATGGCGACTAGGCATGCGTAATACATGTCCCAACCACCCCAATCGATGAAGGTCCACAACGTCTCCTAGAACTCTACATGAGACTTCTACTGAGGTGGTGACACCCTGGTATAGCATACAGTACAAATGTAAGTGATCGAACGCCTAAAGTCTCCCTATATCTCCTATCTTTAATGCCATGTTTCACAGCATAGTACAAACTGCTAAATAGTACACTCGGAGCTTAATAGGTAAATGCATTTCACGGTGGTGCCATAAGTGGTGTCAGTTTCTGTAAGTCAATCGGCTTTTTTGTAACCGTGCAGAGATTTCGTTGATCACAGAAGGATTTCCGTCCTTAAAGACTACAACGCAGAGATTGAAACCAATTAGAGGCGACCATATATGACTCCCAAACATTAATTAATACTTCAGTCAACTTGACCAATAATCCTCTACCATCCTCTTTCAATGCCTTTGAAACTGGTCCATCTGGCCTCGCTGCTGTACTTCTTTTCTACAATTTTTTCGGCTTCTGTAAGTATTCGGGGTCTTTTCTCAATGTTCCACTCAGGATTTGACTGGATAGCTGGCGACGGAATAATATTTGTAAACCACTTGAACTGTTCCTCAAAGTAATTGCAGTCGTCTCCCCTGCTGGTGAATCACAGACCTATCCTCCTCTATAATCTCACTAACCACTGACCTTTCTGCCCCGGGTTTCTTGGTCACTCTAAGTAACATATACTTTCTCTGCCTTATCCGCCTCGTAATGTTTTGCCACCTACCACTGCTTGCTGATCATTGCGTGAATTTCTCATCAGTATTTATTTCAGTTGCTCCCACCGATCATTGTGCTCATGACCTTCAGGGTTGCTTTCGCGTGCACCCGTTAGTTGTGACGCTGTTGCTGTTGTTGTGATGCTTTTTAACCTCTGTGAGTCCGTAGCAGGCTATCTCTGTTATTACAACGAACTGTATTTGGCACCAATCTTCTTCTGGATAAGTGACGTCCTCTTTTGATAACTGTATGACCAATTTTTCACTAAGAGCACTTTTTGTATTCTCATTGTTGAGCTGCACTTAGAATGACCTTATCGTTGTAGTTTTTCTCGGTCCATTTAGCCGCAGACGAACATGTACTCCAGAAAGAGTGGAAATATTCCGTCAACTATCAGCGGTAGATATCAGCACTATGGTTTATGTGTGTTTATGGTTATGTTGAAATCGGTAGATGCCACGTCAGCTAATGTTTCTCTTTTTGTGCAGGGTCCAAATGACTGGAAGTAGATGGCTGTCTGAGTACAGCTGCTTTAAACCATTACCGTCATCCACTCGTTTGACAGGCATTCTAAAAGTGTCACCAGAGTGCCTTTCTTTCGGACACCCTACCCACTGGTGCGTCGATATCACCTGCTGAGACAACCACATCCGAATATTTGACATGTTTTGGGAGAAGTCATCTCTCACTTCATCCAAACTCCAGTCAGTGGGTGCGTAAGCAGATTAAAAAGTGACAGTGGTGAATTTCACCATTCTTGTGAGTCCTCACTGCATCGTTCAGTCAAACAGTTCACAGGCGATTGACAGCTAGGATCCAGTTGACCAGTGCTCTCTCTGCCTTACCACTTCACACTATATCTTATCTACACCTGCAAGATGACATCAACTAGTCATCGCATCTGTAGAAACTAGAGGGGTGTATTTTGCAGATTCCCCGAGTTGGTTGAGTGGGGTTACTTGAATAGCTACAGGTGAATTCTTAATATATGCCTTGCAAGCGCAACACATGGTGCAGTTTAGCCGGCGAAGCTTGTCGTCGAATTTGATGGAGTGTGTTGTCATTAAAGGCTCTGATATGTGGTTTGAAGAATAGTTTCAGACCAATGATGCTGTTCTGTGAACTGGAATCATTTGATAGGTCTGCTAGCTGGAAGGAAGCATTGATGTTCTGTTCCGAACAGAAGTATGTTAAGTAGGATTGGAAGGCAAATATGTTTGAGGCCGGAAGTAACCTGTGGGAGCTTGAGTGCTGAAAGAGCTATGCGGGTAGTTGATACTTCTCGGTTTTGTACATTGTGGACATTTACTTCTTCTTGAGGTACCTGAAGAAGAAATTGATTTTGCAACAGTAGTGCGTGGCCGTAAAGCCCGAGTTACCTTCTCAGGAGACAATGGGCTGTTTAGAAGTTAGAAGTTTTTTGAGTCCACTGAAACCATGGCCGCTGGCCCCTCAAAACCGTTGGGTAGAGGGTATTAGTATCTCCTGGGTCGACCTTTTCTAGCAACTACTTTCACACAGGGGATGCAGCATTGTACTGTAGGCAGTTCATGGTAAATACGTTACTATTGTCCCTTCTTTGTCCAGCTGACAGTACAACTTCATCATCGAATTCTCATCACAGCGTAGTAATTTATACTGTGATGGTAACCGCTCTTTGTTCTACCTTTGTATAACAGACGTTTCTAATGGAGAGGACCTCGAAGAAACAAGTGTCACTTTCGTAGTTTCCCGAGTCAGTGTGATATACGAGCCCAAACACCATGTTAAGGTAGCATCTATCCTTCGGGCTATTCAGTAAAATTAGAATAACGATGATTACAGCGATAATGACGACGAAACACTGATTCGAAATTGTCTGTTTCGAGGTGGCCTTCGTCATAATATTTTGAAATTATTTAGAAGATTATTGTGAAAAAAGACGCTTAAATGTTGATTATATAGTCTAACTCTGCATAAATTTGAATTCTTTTTACGACAAAAGTAGTTCGGGATATTGATGAACCACATAGCTGTTAGGTCTTCCACCTGCAAGCATTATTATCTATGTTGTTTTAAAGTCTTGTGTTGGAATCGAAATAAGTTCAGTATTCATTCATTTTGTTTGCTCTAATATTATACACAGACGACATACAAGTAAAATACGCTTTTCATGATGTATCAGCTCGGTGCTCATTTTTTTCTAAGCAGTCCAGTTCATCGTCGGTCTGGATGCGTTCAAAACTAATTTAGTTGTTTGTAAGTTTAATTCATAAGTTTAAGTTCTAATGTACTGAAAACAATGAAGAGTAAATTACACTTTTAATGTGTAGAATTTCTTTGACAACCACAAAATTGTCTTATTTGCAGTATCCAGTCAAGGATATATCAACAATTTATATGGACCGGGATGGAATATTGTCACCACAGGTTTGTGGAATTTATTGTGCTTATTCTTCGGACAGGATTTTATCGCAGTTTTGCACAAAATGGAATTAGAAAGTTCTTTAGATGAAGCATATCTTCAAAATAACCAGCTCCCGTTGCCACTTTCCAGATCAGCTCATCTTGTATCACCAACGAGATCAGTAAGTTGGAAATTTTCCAGTACATTAGTTTAGAATTCACAGACTCATTGCAAACCCGGTACTTCATCTTCCACTGAAACCTATGATATTGAAGTAGCTGAAGATACGGATATTCCTGTTAACGTTGTTCCTAGTCCTTCACCAACACTGGTTACAGTTTTTCCCCCTATGTCTCCAACAGATTCGTGGATTGAGCAGAATGATAGAAATTCAGTTGAAATCCAATCGGTCTCCTTGCAGTCACTAAACCTGGATTCAAATGAAGAACAAGTAACTTCAGACTTATTGCAAAAATCTGGTCTTCAGATCACTTCAGCAGAATCAACTAGTGTTGAGGAAGTGCTTGTGAAGCATATAGAAACTAGTTCCTCATCCTATTCTTCTGAAAAGTCAGAACATTCCCCTTCAAGTTTTAATGAAGAGATAGTTACTCATCATCAGGTCAGTAACATTTTATAGTTAATTGCTTTAATTTCCTATTTAAGATCATAAAGACAAGCGTTGTAACGTTTTAGATTTTAAAGGTTATTTATTCTTCTCTTGCCTACTCCAATGAGAACTTTAATGATAAACGTGGTTTGGCGTTAATGTGAATTCAACTTTTTCCTTAACGCTGTGCTTAAGAATGGCACACGTGTATTCTCAGCGTATAAACTACAAGTACGCGGAAATCACAGTAGTTTGTTTAAATTTAACCAGGTTTCAAAAAGTTACTGTTTTATCCTTATCCTTTCATTGTAGCTGGTGAGTATGCTCAAAATTTATCCTTTGTCCCACCACACCAGCTAGCAGAGAATATAACGTCTGCATAAATCTAGAATGCAAAAGTTATTTACCGAAAATATATAGAAGCGCAACACCTGAAGAAACTCAGGTATTGGGGTCCAGCTATCGTAAATGAGAGTGACATGTAGACAGAACGTCACACTATCGGTCGATTCTTATTCTTCGTACTGTGGTTACTGTTCACCTGGCTATGGATAAAACAGTTGTATCTCCAGATATCAACCAGTGGGTTATAAATTCGAAACCCGCTCCACTTACCGAGGTTTGGGCAGCCAAGTAGTATGACTAGCCCTCACAAAATAGGCCTGGTTCATTGTCTACTGCATGGAAGTGTACAAGGTGGTTGAGGACGTTTCATTTTTCGTTTCAACGGATCGTTTAGCTGTATGAACAATGGAGAATGTATGTCCAAGTGACTATACAATCATCTCGGCCCACTGTAATTGTGCTTTAAGTTTGGTAGTTGAAAGTTATCAGATAGGTAGTTAATGCAACCTTAACTCACTTTAGAACCTAGTCTTTTGGGTAACCAGTCTGAATAATAGATAGTCATGTCGATACTAATGCATTTATTTAGTGCCGAAATATACTTGTTAGAAGGTATGTATCGAGAAACGCCTCACAGTAAATTTGAGCTGTTAGTAAGGTCGAATTATGTTAAAAGTGATATCTTGTTTCATAAGCCCTATACTTTAAAATAAGAGCAAATCGTATTTATAAAATTTCAGATATTCTACTTGTTTTTCATCTTACTCGTTCTCCAGTAATTTACTTCTCTAGGACTTCAAGACAGTTAAATTGGAGTCCAGAATTCCATTAAGTTTGGATTGTATCTGCCTCACGTTTGTGCTACTAGTGTTTCAGCTGCTCAAAATATTTTTGCAAATTAAAGTTTGACTCGTAAACCCAGTTTAGGGTGTAATAAAGGTTCAGGAAATGATGATTTTTTTCATCTCATTCTCACCATAAGTCAGCATGATTCAAAATTGGGAGGGGGATGTACCGTTCATTTATTTCTTATGTTGGATAGTTTGTGAGTAATTAATGAGTTTTGATGTACTTCTTCATGGATTGTTATGGGATGATGGATTAAAAGAATTAAGGGAATAATGAGCTGCTGTCTGATACTAATTTGGGGTTCCTCAGCTGTGCACACTACCTCTGACCTCATGTCCTTAGGTTTCCGTGACCCAGACTCGTGGTTTGATACACAAACTTGAATATGATTTCTGAGTTATAGTCATTGACTTTTGGGTCCTTTGCACCCACTACCAACCTTTTCATATTTGTACTTGTTTCTTATGACTTCTCAGTGTTAAGTTTTGTTTCGAGTTACATTTACGTTACTTTTAGTTTTTGAGTTCATTTCAATTTTACTGTCATTCTTTTGATTTTTGTTCGACATATTTAGGCTTCAGAATCTTCGATAAACATATCTCAGATAGATGTCACTGGTAATTTTTTTTCTTTGGAAGCACCCACTAAGTCTTCAAAACCAGTCACGGATAGTCAGAAAACAAACCATAATTCATGGCCTACAGATGTGACGTCGGAATTGGGAAATGGTGCACATCAGAAGTTAGATTTTCAGTTAAACAGTGGTAGTTCAAGCAGTCTAGATGATCTTCATCGTTATGAAACTTTTGATGATATTAAAGAGTTCAGTGTTGTTCAGCAATACAGTTCAAGCTCTGATTCTGAATTAGACTACAAGTTTGATCAGCGATATTCCACGGATTACAATAATATACAGAGTTCTGGAAGTTTGAAGTCTATCAATACAAATTGTGGGACTCATGCGCGTGACTCATGGTTATCAAGAAGGGGGATAAATTCAAGAATGGAACGTAAAACGTTCAGGTTTGAGCACAATAAAATTTCCAACAACCAGTCACATATTTCTTCTCCAATTCCCTGTAATATAAATGTATTCAACCTTACTGAGTTGAAAGATAAGGTTTATGACAAAAATTCATCGACATGTTCCAGTTCGACAGTAAGCAAACGATCAGATCGCCATATTCGTGATATTGAAGTACTGGAGGTTGCTGGAGTCCCTTTCTCATATGAAGATATTATATATTCATCAAATGAAGAGTTTCGTGAATTGCGAGCGACTCCTGGCCTAACAGAAGAACAGGTAAATTGCATTCAATATGAGAAGGATTTTCAGACATCAAATTTATATCTATTTTGGGAATATAAGTATAGATATACAAAAGTGTAGATGTATTTGTAGAAACAAACTTATCAGACTGACAGTATCAATACAAAACTGCAAATCGCCACACTTCAGAGTAGCATGCAAAGAAGAAGTGGATAGAAAAGTGTGACATTTAAGTAGATACAGGTGTATGTAAAGAAAAGGAATTAAAAAACTAATGTTAGTGAGTCTATTTAAGCTTTACAAGACAAGGAGTGAATACATCTGCACCATTGTAACCGATTTTCACCCATGACACAAAGTTTCATAGGAGTGGTCTTGGAGACCCCAACCAGGTAGTGTTCACCTCCATACGCGGCTCAGACCAACCGTCAAAGACTTCATGGACTAACGTCACGTCTTGGTCTGGGCACTATGAGCCTTTTTCCAACCTGATCCAACTTCTGCTAGCATTTTACGCTGAGGTAGGCGGTGGCTCGATATGTGGAACATGTGTTCACTCCACCACAATTGGTGAAGGTTCACTATCTCATCCACTGACTTGCCTTCTCTAGCTAGTACCCTTAGCTTGACCTCAACTTTGTTGACGTGATGATTCCGTCTTACGTAAGCAATGCTACGAAGACACCTGTATTTGAAGACCTCTAATGTCTTCATATGTACTTTTAACAGTCATGTCTGACAACTGCATTATGAGACGAAGTGAACAACAGCACAGTATCCTCCTATTATATATATTCGGATATATCTCAAGTAGACGCTGGTTGGCAAATGATAATGTTCCATTTCTATCGGATTTGCGATTTCGTCAGCAACCAACCCTTTCAAGCTAATGCAACTTCCAAAGTGATCAGAGTGATCAACACACTCTACCATTTTACTCTCTATCCTTAAACTCTGAGTGTCTGCAGACCAGTTATGAAGCATCGTCTTGCGTTTGACAAGTTTGAAACGTATACAAAACGTACTCGGATTTCTGCTCAAGGCGTTCAGAAAACCCTGTATTTTGTCAGCATCTATCACGACACTGTCGTTCGGATACTTCAAATCAACCGGGTTCCAACCTGACAGTAGGTCAATCCGTGTAAAGTCGAAGGCACCTAGAGTTACCTCTCTTAGTACGCCAATGACGAAGTTACATATGAACGGTGGCAGCTTTCATCCCTGGTTATCGTCATTTTGGGTGGCAACTTCCCATAAGCCCTTACAAAGTTTTACGTGAGTTTGAATAGAGAGCTTTAGTGAGCATAAAATACTTGCTGTCTACTCGTTTCGTGATCAAACACTACCACGAAACCTCTCGATCGATAGAGTCAAATGCTGCTTTCAGGTCAAAGAATGTAGTGAGTGTATAACACTAGGGATATCCTTGTGTTCCGAAACTTGTCGAAGGGTGAAAATCAAATCGATACATCTTTGTTCAGGCCTAAAACCTTCTTGCCTTCCTCGAGTGTTGGTGTTTTTAAGTGTCATTTAGGTGTCGTTTGCCTATGGACACTAGAAACTTGGATATGATGTTAGCCAAACTGATTTCCTTATGGTTGTCACAAGAAGAATTCAATGCTTTTAGAAATACTGGAATGATCAATGATATGGACTAGCCTTATAAGACTACCTTTAATTCTCGTTCACTAACTAGTACCCTCATTACTCTACTCACCAATTTCCTACCTACTTTCTTCAAACCTGGTTGTAAACCATCAGGTTCTGCTACTTCGCATCGTTTCAGGTTTGAAACAGGTTTTTCAATTTAGAGATGAGTTGAAAAACTAACCTCTACTTACTATTCAGGTTTGAGCTGCATGTTGGGGAACTGAAGCATTTGGGTCGCTTTAATTGCTTTTTAAAGTGATCTACCCAACGTTATATCCACCGCTTCTGAGAAGGTAAGGGGACCCATTTTTTGGTGATGGTTTCACCATCGTCTTCTTCTTACCAATATTCTTCACAGGCCTAAACAATTGCTGGGTAGTACCTGTTACTGATGCCTTTGCCACCCATCGGTGCTCACGGTCTATTTACGTTTCAGTTGCTTTTCTTTCTGTTCTTCACTGCGATCAGAGTCTAGTGGAATGAGTGTTCTCGCATTGATTAGCTTATATGAGGACGCAGAAACCCAATTGTTTTTGTTAATCATTGCACATTGGTTACTAACTTTCTTGGCCACCGTCTCAGGAGCACACTGAATATTATGTCAGGTTTCCTTCCGCTAAGAATAACCATTTCCAGATAAATACTTAGCTACCTCATCTCTGCATAAATGACGTTCTCATTTTTCAGCTAAATACATAGAAGTTTTATTATAAAAGTTTGCTGCGTCTGTTAAAACAAAAATCACAAATCCCCGTGCTAACGCATGTTTAGAGCTCAAACAGGTATTCTGGACAAGAGTGACAGTCTTCCGTGTCCTGCCTATCGATGACTTATGGTAATATAATCCATTTATTTCCATCATTGATTTGATGTCATTGGACGTCAAGTGAAACGGTCCCATTGTGTGTGTTAAGTCCTGCTGTTTAAGGATAAGAGATTGTTAGAAAAAGGTTGTCGGAGATGATGAACATTGTCGTTTTGTCGGTACCGAATGCTATTCTATGCTATGTCATGTCATTTCGATTGGCTCAACTTCCCTACTTCAGTTTTAAAGTTACGGGGAGCCTGAACGTTTTGTTTTATTGTAGCAAAGTTGAGAGCTTTTGATAACGCTAACCGTTTGTATCATCCGAGCTGCAGTTGATAGGCGCATAAATAGAGCCTGCAAACTATTACCAATTTTATTATTTGAAACGAACTCGGTACAACATGTGCAGCAGGAGATGCACCATATAAAGTAATTATTATTTGTTTCTTGGATTCCTGGGGGAATATAGGCTTTCAGTAGCACGTCGCCATTTCATTCTGTTCTCTGCACTCTTTTGAACCTGGCTCTACGACTGGCCTTAAGCTTTCATTACTTCCTCACACGATCTCCTTCATGTCACCCTGGGACGCCCAACTCGTCATTACCCATTTGGGTTCCACTCAAGGGCCTGGGCTGGCGCGTGATGACTCCAGATGGTCTACTCAGTGTATGTCCAATCCAATCCAATCCAATCCATCTCCATTTTCTTCTGCATATTTGTTGGTTGGTTCGTCACCAGCCAGCCAGAGTTCCTTGTTGCTTATTCTGATTATTCTGGCCATCTGATCTTCAGTAATGAGCCAGCGTAGACAGTTGTTGATGAATGTCTGTAGTTTGCTGGAAATGCCTTTCGTAACGCGCCAAGTCTCTGAACCATACAGAAGCACTGACTTGACTGAAGTTGGTGTTGAAAATCCGGATATTGTTCAGGCTTTATGCTGAGTGCAGAAGGTCTACACACAGGTTTCAGGAACATTAAAAGAAACAAACGTGATACTAAAACTGCAAAATAAAAAGTAGTGGAGGCATTCTCCAAAGCGTATTTACAGAAGCTTTCAATAATTTCGTTTTGCGTTTCAGTTATAGAATATCTAAGATAAATGCAGCATGATCGCCGCTTGTTTCAATTCTAAGGCATATCTACCATCGTTTCAAGCCACGGAGCCATCCAATATCTCGAACCCCATATAGGCAGTTCTGAAACACTTACCGATGCTAGGATGTCGATTTTTTTTTTCATCGTTTAGTATTAGGTCATACACTGATCACTTCTGCTTCTAACAACCAGTCGCAAGACAGGCAAAGTGTGAGCTGTACAGAGGCCGCTGCGCCGACATATGTAACACAAGTCCACGCCAATGAAGCAGTTGTTCTGATATAAACTCATTTAATGATCTATTACACGCCCAAAAATCTCCGCTTCATCTCAGAATTTATTATATATTGCTCCTACCACGTGCTTGCAGTAGTATGGAGACAAGGGTGATGAAACACGCAAGATGATTGTCAGGTATCTTTAGCTCAGAGAAACCAGATTTCGCATGTATCGGACAGAATCGCCCACACCAAGATGTTGTTTGATCGACTTTTTGCAACTAGGTTAACGTCATGATGGCTGCAAAAGAGACGGGTTGACATATACCTGCCTAGTTGTTGATATGTAGTTTGAAATTTCGCCAGTCACATCTCCATTAACGCCCAGACAACTCTTGGTTACATAGACATTTCGACAGCTTTTAACTGTTCACCATCGAGGGCGAGTGCAGGTACAGACTCCCGCTAACCTTCTAGAAGCATGTGGCACTTTGAGGGCGCGAAGTTTATAACATAGTTACGGACACTGATGTGAGTGGTCCGTATGTTGTTGCACAGTCAAATGATATCATCCGCATATTTACGGTCGAAATGTATTTTCTCCTGGTAGCAGGTCTACACCATCATTAATCACTTATTAAGTTGTCTCCAGATTATCGTCGATGCCAAAGTTGAAGAGGAATGGCGAAATTTGCCACTATTGGTTTGGAATAATGATAAGAGGCGGCGATGTCTTCACTCTACATGTAATGTTAAAGTATATTAGATTAATGGTACTAATGAACTCAGGGACATCACTCTCTAATAAGTAACTCCAGAATGCAACCCTGTCCAACGAATTTCGGGCAGTCCTAATATCAAGAAATGCAAGTGATGTGATTGATTTGAGTCCAAGTTTAAGTGGCAGGGAAAGGACGCCGAGTCGCTTGCCAGTGAATGGCTGTGCCGGAAGTTGGTGCTGACTAAATCAGACTGCATTCTGCACTAAGTCTCAGAAGACTTCTCCCACTATCAGATTTTGATTGAATAGTCCCCGGTGTCCACGCGTTCAAGTACATAACTAGCACTACAATATCTGTTTTTATCGCAGGTACATCCAGCTGACGAGTCCCAAATAGGACGACATGCGCATCCTGGATTCCACTGCTAGCCGCGATCTACCATTTTTTTGTTTTTATCGCACTTGGTTGATGAGATCACTCAAGTGATGGTACAACTCATTCTTAACTGCATCCATACTGCGGTCTGTAGATGCGTAGGA